GGGTGGACTTCAACTCCCAGAATTCTGGAAGTTGAAGTCCACCCATCTTAAAGTTGCCAAGGTTGAGAAACACTGAGTTAATCAAAAGTTGAACCCAGTGACCATTTGACTTAGAATTAAATTAAACGGATGTACACTATCTTCATTCTCCTTGTACAGTTCAGCTTTGTGTATAAAGTATGAATGCCTTTCACTGCTTTGTGAGATTCTGGTGTTTTATTGGTTTGTTTAACCAACTAGAATTAAACATCACATTGAATCTACTTCACCCATGAGGAATGCTATGGCACCCACAGGGACACAACCAGAGTAGGTTTAGATCTGATTTTGCACACCCGTAATTACCTTAAGGGCCTAGAATGATATCCCTGCATATTTTCAGAATTTATCTGAATTAAAAATAAAAGAGATAGCAACGTGTTTAGGTGCTATCCAAGGTCAAACGTGGAACCCGAGGTCTGAAATAAGAGTTAAACTATGAATGCAGATATCATTCCAAATGGAAGTCCAACCGTTTGTTGAAATAAAGGTGTGTGCTAGAAAGGGGTTTTGTTACGCACGCTCACTTCATTTGGGGGTTCACCCATTAAAATCAGATTTCATTGCTGGATAATCGTGCCACTTTTCAACCTTCACATCTATTTCTCTCATTCCCTCTTGGGTATTTCGCGTGTTCTTTGGACAGCCGATGGCAGTCGTGGCATTGCAATGGAAGCCCCGCCCCTTTTGTTCATGCAGCAAAGTAAGGAGTGGGGCTTTGGTGTGAGTGCTACACAAGCATTGCGTCTTTTGTATGGGTGTCACCCTGGTTCTTAGGCTGAGGGGGAAGAATGGGCTCAAAGTCCCCCCAAGGAGCTTCTCTGGCTGAGGGGGGACCAGAACCTGGGTCCCACCTTCAGTGCTGGACCACATGGGAAATAAATCTGAAGCCAGTGCCAGAACTGGGGTGAGAATAGATTTGCCTTCTGTCTGTGGTACCATCCAGCAGCAACTAGACTGAGGCAGGAGTGTCACCAAGGCCAACTGAGTCCTTTAAATAAATAAAGAATAAAGTGATGATCCAAAGCTGGATCCAGGCCTGGAGTCCTGTTCAGTTCATATTTGTAATTATTACAAACCAGCGACATCACTTCCTTCAAACTGGTGTCTTTCCAAGAAGAAGCCCAGTTGGATTTCTTTAGTATATACCTGCCATTGGCTTTACACGAACTTTGTACCCGTTGGTGTTTCCTTCTGTTTCCTTCCATTTCATTTGTAACCTGTCTTCTGAAAGGACAGTCAGCTTCAGACGGTTTGATCCTGCAGGAGAACCAGCATTATCTTTACCATTCAAAATTGGGGGGGGGGGGGA